TCAGGGACAGTTTAGACCCTCGACATGAGAGAGAGAGGGTTGAAGGACCCTCCTCAAGTCCTTCCTTGGAAGAGCCTGGCAAGGCTGATGTTCCCGAGCTTGTCCCTCCGTCTCTTATAGAAAGTGAAACTAAGCCATCTGCTCCGCCAGTGTATGCTGATGCAGAGCGTGCATTAAGGAAGGGTCTTCTTCCAGATGAGGGTCCCTTAGATCCAGGAGATGCTGATGATTTGGAAGAAGAGGCTGCTAGATATAACAATGAGGACTGGCCCTCCCTCCCTATCATAGCCGTGGCCAGGAAAACCGGAAAATCCAGACAGCCAGCAAAGGAGGACGTAACCGAAACGATTACTAGGTTAGGAAAGACATTGGAGTTTCTTTGCCAGCAGTGGCAGCCAGGCTTAAAGGTGGAAGAGGAGGGCCAGAAGGCTCAGGGCGAGGAAGAAATAGCTCCTAGTATAATTGCTGGTCTTGACCCCCCGGCGGTTGCAGGTCCAAGATTAATCAAAAAGACTGACCCTCTTATAGCCATGATCAAACACCCCCCAGGACCCAGACCTTTGTCTATCTTACAAGCTACCCTGCAGCATGCGGTTGACAGAGGAGAAGATACCCAGGGCTTTCATTTAGCTTGTCCAGTATTTGAGGAAACTGATGCTCAAGGGAATATGGTCAGAGTCCATTGACCGATTCCTTTTAAACAGCTCAAAGAGCTAAAAATGGCCTGTGTGCAATATGGCCCTACTGCACCTTTTACTCAGGCCATGTTAGAATCGCTGAGCATGGAGGCGCTGCCTCCCGGAGTTTGGAAACAGCTGGCTAAGGCATGCCTGTCTGGGGGAGATTACCTCCTTTGGAAAACAGAATTTTCTGAGCAATGTCAGAGAACAGCTGAATTAAATCGGGCTAATAGAAATGATATTGATTATGACATGCTGGCAGGAGAAGGGCAATATGCAGACCTCACCAGTCAATCATTGTTTCCTGCAGGAATATATGCACAGGTCAATACCGCTGCCAAGCGGGCCTGGCAGAAGCTGCCTTCTACGGGTAGGCAAACAGAAGATTTATCCAAAATTAGACAGGGACCTGATAAGCCTTTTCAAGATTTTGTAGCCAGGTTAATGCAGACTGCCAGTAGATTGCTGGGAGATTCCGATGTGGGATTGTTGCTGGTCAAACAACTGGCTTATGAAAATGCAAATACTGCCTGCCAAGCAGCTTTAAGGCCATTTAGAAAGAAGGGCACCATCTCAGACTATATTAGAATGTGTGCAGATATTGGACCTGCCTACACTCAGGGCCTTGCAATGGCGGCAGCTTTGCAGGGAAAAACTTAAAGAAGTGCTGTTTCACCGACAAAAGAGGAGTCCTAGAGGTAGAACTCTGGGTCCTCCAGGAAGCTGTTTTGGATGCGGACAAATGGGTCATCAAGTAAGACAATGTCCTCATAAAGCTCCTCCAGTAAGACATGATGAGGCAGGAAAAAGAAATGGTCCGGGGTTATGTCCTAGATGTAAGAGAGGTAATCATTGGGCTGGTGAGTGTAAATCTAAAAAGGATGCCGTGGGTAATCTTCTCCAGCAGGGAAATGGGAGGAAGGGCCTGCCCCAGGCCCCGCAACAATGTTATGGGGCACTCCAGACATTCATTCCCCAACAAGGCAATCCATTCAGGACCTCTTCAGAGCAACCCCAGGCAGCGCAGGACTGGACCTCAGTCCCTCCGCCTTCACAGTATTAACCCCAGAAATGGGAATGCAGGCCCTTCCCACAGGAGTTTATGGACCTTTACCACCAGGAATGATGGGACTGCTTTTGGGAAGAAGTAGCGCTACTATGAAAGGTATTTTAGTCGATCCAGGGGTCATAGACGGGGATTATACTGGAGAGATTAAAATCATGACCCATTCACCTACTGGGATTTCTGTGATACAAGCAGGACAGCATATTGCACAGCTGCTTCTACTTCCTCAAGTACACACTAAAAATGCAGCCAAGGGAGATAACAGAGGGGCTGCAGGATTTGGGTCATCAGATGCCTATTGGGTGCGGGCTATAGGAGCCCAACAACCTGAGCTCACCCTGACCATCAATGGGAAAAAATTCCAGGGTCTGCTTGATACTGGAGCTGACGTCTCAGTTCTAACTGCAGACCAATGGCCTACAGCATGGCCTAAACAATCAACAATGACACAATTACAAGGAATAGGTCAAAGCCAAAGCACTGAACAGAGTAGTAATGTGTTACTTTGGAAAGATGCTGAGGGTCATCAGGGACAATTTCAACCGTACATTGTGCCAGGGCTGCCGGTTAATCTGTGGGGCAGAGATGTTATGAAAGAAATGGGGGTGTATTTATATAGTCCTAGTGAACAGGTAACCCACCAAATGTTTGATCAAGGGCTTTTACCTAATCAGGGCTTGGGAATTAAAGGTCAGGGGATACGGGAACCTTTAATGCCGATCCAACTATCTTCAAGAACAGGCTTAGGGTGTTTTTGAAGGAGGCCACTGGCCAGCCTGTACTCCACGCGGATCCCATTATTTGGAAAAGTGAGGAACCTGTGTGGGTGGATCAGTGGCCTCTCACTAAGGAAAAAATTAAAGCTGCTGAGCAGTTAGTACAGGAACAGCTTGATAGCGGACATGTAGCTCCTTCTAATTCTCCTTGGAACTCTCCTATTTTTGTCATTAAGAAAAAATCAGGGAAATTGAGATTATTGCAAGATCTTAGAAAAGTCAGTCAGACTATGGAAGTAATGGGAGCCTTGCAACCAGGATTACCTATGCCATCAGCTTTACCTAGAAATACTTATAAGATCATTATAGATTTAAAGGATTGTTTTTATACTATTCCACTTGCTCCTGAAGATTGTAAACAATTTGCTTTTAGTGTACCCTCGACAAATTTTAAGGAGCCTATGAAGAGATATCATTGGAAAGTATTGCCTCAGGGTATGGCTAATAGTCCTACTTTGTGTCAGAAATTTGTAGCTCAGGCAGTAAATAAAATTAGGAAAAGATATCCCCAAATCTATACAGTTCATTATATGGATGATATACTTTTACCTCATGGACAAGAAGGCCTCTTATTGACAGCCTATGCTCATTTACAACAAGCCTTGAGGGATCAAGGATTGATGATTGTACTGGAAAAGGTTCAGACTGAGCCACCATATTCCTATTTAGGACATAAGTTATATCTCAAATCTATATTAGCTCAGAATGTTCAAATTAGGAAAGACAATTTACACACTTTGAATGATTTTCAGAAATTGTTAGGAGATATTAATTGGCTTAGACCATATTTAAAAATCTCCACCAGAGAATTGAAACCTTTATTCGATATCCTTCAAGGAGATTCTGATCCTACATCTGTTAGAAAATTAACTGAAGAAGGTCGAATGGCCTTGTGTGAGGTAGAACAAGCTATAGAGCAACAGCAAGTTCAATATATAGATTATGCTCGGGGATGGGCTGCCTATGTTCTGGCAACAGCACATACCTGCACTGCCATCTTATGGCAAGATGGTCCCTTGCTTTGGTTGCATTTGCCTGTCTCTTCAGCCAGAGTGTTAATTCCCTATTACAAATCTGTGGTGTGCCTGGTTCAAATGCAAGGGAAGAGTCTCAAAAATACTTTGGAGCAGAGCCTTCCTTAATTGGAGTCCCATTTACCAAACAACAGTTAGATTGGCTATTCCAAAATGTGGACATGTGGGCCATTGCTTTTGCACATTACCCTGGATGTATAGATAACCATATCCCCAAAGATAAATTATTACAATTTGTTAATATTCATGCTTTAGTGTTTCCCAAGATTATGAAACAGGAACCCATAAGAAATGCCTAAGTGGTCTTCACTGATGGGTCTTGCAATGGCATTGCAGCTTATGTTATTCAGGGAAAGCCACAGATTGTTCATACAGCCCCCACCTCTGCTCAGATTGTTGAGCTTCGCGCCATCACTACAGTGTTTGAGCTCATGGACCATTATTCTTCCAATTTGTATACAGATAGTCATTATACTGTTAAAGCTTTACAGGTGCTTGAAACAGTTGCTTATATTGATACTGCCAATAATCAAATACAGGAACTCTTTGCTCAGATACAGCGGTTCATACATGCCTGGACCTGTCCTTGTTATGTAGGTCACATTAGGGCTCATTCTGGGCTTCCCAGACCCCTGGCAAAGGGAAATGATCTTGTGGATCAGGCTACATGGCTAGTAGCTTTCAGTCAATTAGAATTAGCTCAACAGTCTCATGCTCTACATCATCAAAATAGCCAAAGCTTAAGAAAACAATTCCATATACCTCGAGAAGCTACTCGACAAATAGTTAAGCAATGTTCTGCCTGTCCTACACATTATTCTGTCCCTCATTATGGGGTAAATCCCTGCAGCCTTAAACCTAATCAGCTATGGCAAATGAATGTTACCCATATTGCTGAATTTGGAAAACAGAAATACATACATGTAAGTATTGATACCTTTTCAGGATTTATTGTGGCCACTGCACAAACTGGAGAAGCTACAAAACATGTGATAGCCCATTGCTTAAAATGCTTTGCCACAATTGGAGTCCCTACCATTCTTAAAACTGACAATGGCACAGGATATACTAGTAAAGCTTTTCAAATCTTTTGCAAGCAGATGGGTATCGCCCATAAGACAGGTATTCCTTATAACCCACAAGGCCAAGGGATTGTGGAAAGAGCCCATGGTGCTCTAAAAAATCAA